AGCGAGAATGATGCAGTTGGGTCGTATCACGAAGTGCACGATCAGCAAAGGATTGACCGACATCTTCGTCTGCATCTTCACGGTCGTTGCCGTGCGTGTCTACCAGGCGACTTACAGCCTGCAGGAAATTGCAGAATGAGGATACTTTACATTTGGAGTACGTAGGTGTTAGCCTAGCAGCTAGGATTCTCACGGGAAAGCTCCCAGACGTGCGCCATGATACGCAAGAAGAAGGGTGCACTAAACGCGCCTTAAATCAAGCCATTACATTGTCCATAGAACGCAAGAATCAAGGTATTTAGCCAGCAGCATACACGAATCTTTTTTAAACGCAATTGGTACCGCGCTCAAACAATAATTGTATGCGATTTTATTGGAATAATTGAAACAGCAATTGTTTGTTACGCAACCCTGCTTACAAGTGCGCTTGAAAATAACTTGACGAAGTTGTTACTACTATGCGCGATGAAGTTGTCTAAGAAAAGGCGGTACGGCACGTATAATCTTGATATTCCAAAACAAAATCGTGGGCTTTGTCTACCAATTTTTATTTTTCCAGAAAGTTCCCAGGCGTTTGAGTTAGGTGAGCCAGCGTGTTCACTATAAGAAATTGCTGCTAGCATTTCTTCTTCTTGAGGCAAGCCTCCCAGAAATTGCAGCAGCATCTAGAATGACACGTCATGGTTATGTGAATCGACAGAAGAGGTTCCGAACGTGTCGTAATAAATATTGTGCGAAGGAATGTGAAAATATTTGGTGGTGGATTGCATCCGTCCTATGTTCAGAACATAATACAAATCCATCTACCAAACACTCCAAAGCAGACCAAGAGAACTTTTAGCAAGCATAATAACCAAGTGTCGTGAACAGAGAGTTTTTTATGCCAAAGTTGTTGTTTACATGAGCTTGTAGGGCCCAAATTGAACATAAAAAAAGCGAATGCTGTACATCACGATGAATTCCGTATACCTGGTGTATTCGGTTTACGGCGTGTACTTTACACACTTGCAAGAATGAAGAAATGTCACAAATTGCCTCAACGAAGTCATTTGAGGTGGCGAGCTTCGCACAACTTCACTTTTCCTTTTGCCAAGCCAATCTCCAACGTTTCACCATACCAAATTAACGAATACCGGCGATGAACAACAAGTCTTACCTCTATCTTCTGGTCGCTGCCGTGATCGCCACCTCTTCCGTTTCGAGCGCTCAGGACATGGGACTTTGCCTCAACCCAGGCTGCGAGAGGAATTACACGGACCGGACTGTCAGAATCAGCAAGTGCTGCGCGGATAACAGTGGCGGTAGCTTGGCGGACTTTTCAAGGTGCTGCTATTCCAGTTGCAAGCGTGGCAATCCTTGTCAGTAAATAATCCAAGATGCCAGTGGGAGCCCCGAAGTCGTGTGCTCAAAAGGTGTGGAGATCGTTGTTGGTGGCGCGTCGTATGAGAGAGTTAGATTTCACTGATTAGACACTTCTCTTTAGGGGCCCATACTTAATAGAGGTACAACTGAAGCCGCACTATCTTAAATCCTACAATCTACTTGATGCCAACAACGATCGGCCGGTAAGGTACCAAGTTGGTAAGCCCAGCGTCTGCAATAGTAGTTCAAGGAGTGAATAAATTTCGTTTTGTCTGAAATGTACGTAATTAAACGGTAAAAAAAACGTAAGTACAGATTACTGTAGTGGTTACAAAACCGAACAATTTCATCCAATCAGAATACTCCGCAGAAAGTTTGCGAATTTATTTTCGCTTTTCATCGATCATGACCACGTTTGCCACTGTAGTGCTGCTGCTGTTGTCGCTGTTGAAGAGCAGCTATGCGTCTTCCTTCCAGGGCGAGCTATTCTCGGACGACTACTACCATTGGCTCTACCGCTGGCATCGAGGCGGGGCGTGGATGGAGCATCAGGAACGACACGAATGTTTTGGAACCTGCACAATTTGTGCATTTGTACCGCGGAATAGTACACAAATCACAAACATGAAATTGTCGGTCAACACGACGATAGCCCAGCACTTGGCCACAGTGGAAGTGAATTTCGCAATAGATTCTATTGAAAACGACGACTTAGTGGCGGTTTATCTCGTGGACCCGGAAGAAGCCAACGACGTGGAAGGTGACCCATTATCTGACTTTATAGATTACGTGTACGCCAACGAAAGTCGCGTGAAAAAATCAGGAGTCTACTCGATTGTATTCGGACCGTTGGTGAACATGCGGGCGTCATACCAGTTCAAATATCTGCGAAAAGTTGCGTCAATTAGCCTTGATGATGACGAAGACGGAGAAAGTCTACCATTTTTTGAAATTCTCGGCGAGTCTCCATTTATTGAAATGGAGAGAGGCCATACAGAGCCACTGCAGATTCGACTCGCGTTGACAGGAAAGAAGGGAGAGATGCGAGTCACGTGGGTCAGTGGGCAAGTATTTGGTCCTAATGTGGAATTTGGTACGGCGACTTCGGGGTTGTTGGAACGTCGAGCTGAAGCGACATCAGGATCTTACGACGCTCTTGATATGTGCGACGGACTTGCTAGGATTCGTTCGTCCGTGTACTTTCGACATCCAGGATATCTCCATGATGCGCTGATGACGGACTTGGTACCTGGAATAAAGTACATCTATCGAGTGGGTAGTGTAACGGGTGTGTCGAGTCCAGAGATGGAATTTACGTTTCCGGTGGCGCTAGGAGATCGAAATTTAGAAAACGAGAGACCACAGAGCTTCTTTGTGTTTGGGGATCTAGGCACTAGTGTATTACAGAAACCTATCGACGAATTGGATTTTGACTACAAGAATCCGGAGCGACATTTCACTGGGTTAGATATGGTGTCGAGACTTGCGAACTGGGGCGATGAACGTACTGTAATGGAGCGGATTCGACAGGATTTCGATGAATCATTAAGCGAAGATGCAAGTGATACACCGGAATATGCTGCGTTGATTCACATTGGCGATATCTCGTATGCTAAAGGCAAGACGTTTATGTGGGATCAGTATGGGGCTACTGTGCAGTCAGTAGCCTCACGACTGCCTTACATGGTAGGAGTCGGCAACCACGAATACGATTACATCGAGAATGGGGAAGGCCACGATGTATCAGGAAGTGAGGCAGCGCTCTCGAATGGCTGGCACCCGGATGTCGGCAACTTCGGAAACGATTCTCATGGAGAGTGTGGTGTTCCCTACGCGCGTCGTTTCCACATGCCTGCCGCGATGGATAACACTTCGAATCCTCCATTCTGGTACAGCTTCCGTGTCGGATTGACACATCATGTAATACTGAGTAGTGAGCATCGTTGTACTGTCGGTTCTCCCATGCGGGAGTGGCTTGAGCGGGAATTTCGCGATAACGTTGATCGGGATATAACGCCGTGGCTGATCGTGCATCTTCATCGTCCTCTCTACTGCTCCGAGAGCTACGAAGGTGATCATGCGGTGGCGAAATTACTGCGTGGTTGCTTTGAGGACCTCCTATCTGCAAACAACGTGGACTTTGTCTTCTCTGGCCATTATCACGCATACGAACGAACGTGTCCAGTGTATGAGAATAAATGTAGAGAGCAAGGCGGAAGAGCTCAAGCACCTACACATATTATGATTGGATCTGGGGGAGCGGAGCTCGACGATGTTTCCTATTTTCATGCTATTTGGAGTCGTTCGCGACAACAGGAATATGGTCACGGACGTCTGCATATCTACAACGCTTCACACGCTCATTTCGAGTTTGTTCGAGCTCGTGACCGAGTAGTGGCCGATGACATTTGGGTCGTGTCAGATCACAACTCGAATCGCTTTGAAACAGACAGCTAGAATAATCTGCACCGCTATGAAGAAGAAATCTCGGTCTTCTGTTTCCAAAAACGACGTCTCTGGCTAATCGATATTTGTTGAACCTGTAAAAACACAGATTCGCGCCTTGCACAATAAATTCTGAATT